GGAAGAGAAAAAACTTCAAAAGCAAAACAGCTCAACATAATTCAGTAACAGGTACACGGTTTCAACGTAATAAATTCCAATACTTGCAGATTTGAGAACGCACTGACAACATACGGAACCAACAGATTGCTTACAAATTATTCTCACCGAAACAAAATGCTATAATATCTTCGAGAACGGATTCTCAGAAGGACACTTTCCAAGAAGGTATCGATGTGCTCGTACAGAGATCTCAGCCAACAGAAAAGCTCCGAACAATCCTGTCAGCGGAAGGCAATTTGCTGTCGTTTGAGAAAATTAGCTACCGGAAGCGACTACAGAGCCGGTTCCAACACACACCCCTGCACGGAACAAACTTCCGTCCATTCGAATATTCCAATCGATAGCAATCAGATTCATGAAGATGAGACAGTCGATTACGGGAGAGGCACATGCCAGAAGCCAGATACTGCACGGGAGTGGACGAATATATGCTTTTAACGTCCGTCAGAAGTAAAAGGCGAAGGAATCAGATGGATTAGGAGGGATAGCAGATAAGGAAGAATATACTGTCCATACCACAATCATTATTTCTCAGCTCCCTGTCTCAGTTCCTACGTCGTTAATGTATAAGGTTTACATAGTATGCGTCTCATTCCTTTTATCCATAAGCCAGTGACGTCTCTTAAATGATATCGTACCTTCAGGTTACGAGTAGAACTTTGTAGGAATTTCCCATCTCTGCCATTCGTGCTACATTCGAAACCCACCACACCTTATTTGCCTCCATGACCCTAATAGCGTTTCTGAAAGAGCAGAAATCACTAAAATGTTTACTTTTGTAAAAATAGCATTACAAAAACGATTCAAGTGATAAACGGGTGCAGAAGTCAGAAATATGAAGCTAAAATTAGTGCCAAAAAGGGAAATCCAGATTAATTAATTATGTAAATAACATAGTATGACGATGTGTCATGCAATTTCTGTTGGTACAGAAGGAAACCATAGGCCATTCTTTGACAGTTCAGTGATAGTCACGATAGGAATCATGTGCCCTCCGACTGTAAGGCTGATAAAAAACATTAGTGTAATTATAAAACATGCGCAATTTCAAAAAAAACACTTTCTTAACGACTAATTCTACCCTCCTTGTATATTATATCATACGTCAAAACTATTGGTGAAAAGAGGTCAAACACACAGCGTCTCCCTATAAAACCACATCCCGGTGGTAAAGAAGGTTGAAGCAAATTACAGTCCTACCAAATAAATTGAAGGCCCAAGTTCCTTTAATTTGAACCGTAAAATCTTCTTTCATCTCTCAGTTTTGTGATTCAGTATGTAATCGGATTACTCTCTTTACTCGTAACTACTTCACTTGCTGCTAATTTCTAGACAAGCGGAACAAGCTCAGAAGTGGCGTTGAATCTGTCATCGTTTCAAAAGATAGCTGGTTTGTGGCGAGCGAAGAAATCATGCTCAGTCCGATACAAACTATTTAATATCTGTAGAGAATAAAACACAAATTAACCAGTCAATTCTGCACACACACTTTGTATTGACCGTTTAGAGCCAAACCTCCCTTAAACAACTTTTCATGCGAGTTGAAATTGTGGGTTCGTGAGTTTGTTCGCGTATAGCTCGAGAAAGGATACACCGAGATGAGCCCAAATTTGCATGCTTATTTGTTGAGACCAGAAATAGATCATATGAGGGTCAAACCTCCTGAAATATTGTTCCACAGTTATAAACTAAACACGATAGAAGAATGGCGCCTAGACCAAACTCGCTCAAGTCGCCCAGGTCGCTAGGTCGCCACAGGCACCGTAGTCGTCAGGTCAAACCTTTATGTTATTAATTGCAAACAGAGATGGTACTCAATTTTCAGGCTACCTTCTAGCAACACTTATACATAAAGAATAATTATAATAATCACTTATAACATTTATGTAAAAATGGAAGAGTTTAAGAGATCGAAAGATATTCAGGACTGCGATCATGAAATTTTATATGACGGTGTATATCAAAATTGAGCAAATTTTTAAGATGGCTTTACTGTGAAATGTAAACAGCAAAGGGGTGACCTCGAGGTACATTCGTTTGTTGGATTTCAGGTAGCGTTGTGCGTTTCGGCCACATGCGTTCCTGGTTTAAATGCAGTACATTTTAATTAGCCTATGATCTGGCAAAACGGACAGTATTTTTCTAAAACATTTTCTCTTCAAACCCTTTTGTTCTAAAAGCTTCGAGCCCAACCCAGTCAGTTTCAACTGTTTCACTTCGTAAAGTTGACAGACCACCGCACCGAACAGAAGATAAATGGTCCTATGATTTATGTAATGGTTTTAACCGAGGGCACTTTATCTCCACACCACTATGTTTAGAGATGATTAAATACGTTCGACAGTTATTGCAGTAGACACAAGGGTTCACATAGAAACTTATCTACCTCCTAGCAAACAAATGAAAAGTTGAAAACTTAAATGCACGTTTCTATGATGGATGTTACTGAAGTTATATGAGTAGGAATGATCAGAGAAACAGAGTAGTTCGATGCCTCTTTTTAAGAGACTGCGGCAAAGCAAACAAGTATCTGTTGTCATAGAAACAACAAAGCGACGCGACGCGACGCCTTAATAAAGCAAGGAAATACGTATGTTGTGTAAATATCACTGAACCCAATCTACTTGTAAAGGACGATCCTACGTCTCCTACCTTGGAAGAAACACCTTAGTTGCATCTCAACGAGCAAGTCATGTTAAACTTTAAATACAAGTAAAAAAATTCTTGCGCTTAAAGTCATGAGCACTGTCTTCCTCTCGCACTGCGAAATTGCTTGCTAAGAGAGTTCAAAAGTTTCACTTTTTTGGCTAATGGCTTTTCTTAAAGCAGATGTTTCACTCTTTATGTGGAAACATGCGTAGCTCTTCCTTGGCGACACACGCTCATAAGGTAAGCTGATTCCGACCCGAACCCAAAGAAAAACAAGAACTACCTGGAAGTGTTGTAACTTTGCTAATTACCTTCGCAGAGTTCCATTTCGTAACTCGACTGACTGCGACTCGAGAATTAAATTAAGAGCTCACCTACCTGAGACTGTAAAAAGTATACCAATAGACGGATGTTATTTGGACGTTAAATGTACTGATTTTCTGTGTAGACAGGAAATCCAACCTTATTAGTATTATTATTATTTATTTTATTTAGAATTATTAAATTGAATTATATTACTTAGGTATCGTATTTAGCCCATTTATTTCTGAAATATGATTCAATAAATGAATCAAATTATTATTATTATTAATATGGTACATTTATATATTTAGTTTCATTTGTTTGTTTTACTTTTATTATTATCGAAATAAATTAATTACTTATTATATTTCATCCTGTATTCTGCTTTAGTGCTTGGTTGTTATTGGCCTTTTTGGCTATTGTCAAGCACTTAAATAAATGAATTGAATTGAATTATTATTATTTATCGTTAATATTATTTCTTACAAAGAGGTTTGATGATTGAGTATGGGCTGTATGAGGTACACTAAATTGAATGTAATTATTGTTCACATTGACGAAATGAGCTACTGACAGCGTCGTTAAGTAAAACAAACAACAAAACTTCGCCCTGACGATTAAATTCGGCAGAATTGAAGCTGAAAAATGCTAAAACAAAATAAACCCAAATAAAGAGAGATAAGACAAGCACAGGCCTATAGGCAATGGAAAAATTACTATTGTTATCACTACAATCTTCATCACAGATGTAGCAACACATTTCATTCTGTTCTATGACGTCAGTTTTCGATCCTTAAATCTTTTATTTTTTGTTGAAACTACTTACCAGTTCTTGCATTTCTTAACCGCGTGTAGCTATTAACCAAACTTCGAAAGAAGTTTAATCTCTATTCATATAGTCTTAGAAATATTATCGTGTATCATGTCAGAACAGGCGCATAAATGCTGTTGTGCAGTGTAATGATAAGCACTAACACGGACATCATGTAGTAAGGGAAAATATAACGGAAGGCGGACACATTGTCTACGGCCTGAACATGCGCTAAGTGTATCGTGGTTAATTGGTGAGTTCACACGCCACCTCATATGAACAATACACTTATCTGATGGCTTGTAACAGAGGGACATGCAGTTATGTTTTTAATACGAGAGGAAAAATAATTATGGCGCCATATCACTGGAGAGATGCCGAACTCTGCAGTTCAAGAGCAGGAATTATCGTATGAGAGCCTCTAGTGCAGTACCACTGCGCAATTTCGCATTACAACGGACGCAAAAGAACTCCGGACGAGGTGGTAACTCCGTTATTCTCTTAAGAGAACATGTTAATTTAAAAAACAAAATATCTTAATAACTTAAACAATTTGTGGCAGTAGTGTTTCCCGCACCAAATGTAAAGGCAATACCGTTGTAAATCTGGCTTCTGGAGTACAGTACTAATATTCCCTCCGCATGATATGAAATGATTAAACCGTCACGGCACGGTTTCTGGAATAAAAAATATATCTGTGCGAACATTCATCTTGTCCAAGCAAAACGTTTGTGGAACTTAAAAACAGCGCTATGATCTTATGGCTGAATCTACGAGACTGCTCCAGGATCAGATTACCGTTCTTCCATTTCACCACATCAAGAATCCTTTCTCCAGGGATTCTACACATTTCTGTCTCTCGAATTCAAAGTATTTGGAAACAAGAGAAAAAAATCTGGACTACTTTTTCAATGGATTGTAACGATTTATATCATAGAGTTTGTACAAAGGACAAAGGCAAACACGTTTCCCAAAGCAAAACTCTGTAGAAATTTTTCAAAATTCGTTTATATATATATCAATGTAACTGGGTCATATTTATTCTCTGTCCTTCCTGCGCTGACACTAGTCATTTTAAAAGTTGAGAACGTTCCAGAAGTTACATTGTTTCATTCAGACATACAAAGAGACAGGCAGACGGACGGGCAATCGTGTTAGAAAGAATCAGGAAGGAAAACACTTCAGAGAAATAAATTGTACATATATTTTTATGTGAATAATGCATACTTGCTTTAACACTCTTGGGATACACTCAGTTTATTTCCTTACTAACACGGAGACAAAGTTAAACAGCGACGGGACGGTTGTCAGTGACCATCAAGAGACGAAGTATTATAAACAACTGTTAACCTCAATATTTAAAATATTGATACCAGTGCTATTTAAGTGAATTTAATTTTCAGATCCAATGTTCCTTTGGTATAGCCTGTATTATGAACTGATTAGAGTGTAATACATGTTATAATGTCGATATTAAAATCAAATTAATAACTTATAGATATTATTTGTTAATATTTTGACAAATGGTGGATAAACGATAATTTGACATAAGCTTACGCCTTCTTGTTATGGTCTCACCCCAGCGTAAAACGTCTAAGATTATATCCATATTGTTCCAAAAGGCCACAATACTTTCAGCTCACCGACTCCAGGGGAAATCGCTTAAGGGGGCAAAGACGACTGAATAAAACACGAAATTTATTGTAGAGTATAAAAGGGTTCGTTGTATGGTGTTAATCAACTATTACATTCCTGACCACAGGGCGATAAGTATTACTTTTATGTGCCAAAATACATCTAGGTCACCATAAAATTCTTCGTAATGCAAAATAAATACAGCAATTTTGGTAGATACGCATCTTAATTCAATATATTAACTAAATTACAATAGATGAGGTTTCTACGACCTTCACCAGGTACTACTGGACAAGACAAAGAATGCAATAAAGACATCAGAGAAGAAATAAATGTTTGAAATACTTTTGTCAAACTGAAGACTGAGTAGTATTGGTTACAGAATATAACACAGAATGGAACCAAACTGAAAGAGAGAGAACCTGAACACCAGAAGGAAGGATATGGAGAAGAACTGTAAGTACAGTGTAAGAAGACTTCGGGCTTTCAAGGTGACTAAGTGATAAAAACTTCTCGGGCGGTAAACTGTGTCAGTTCGGAGCAAATCAGATTTCAAGAGAGATGAAACAACTTTAGACCTCTAACCAATAATACACTTAACTCAGCACCCACTCAATATAAAATATTGAGATTTAGTGACATAACTCGGTTTCGACTTGATATTTTTTAATTAAAATAACATCGGAATTAAATTATTCAATTTTGACAAACGTTTCTGTAGTTATGTCTATTGCTCTCCATCTTAATACCACAAACATATTATTAAATTTAAAATTACTCATTGTCAGGACTTTTTCCATCGCCTGTTCTTTAAAACCACGACGTTTCGGAGGCTGGTTCTGTCTCCGTCTTCAGGTGAGAGGTGCCTACTCTGTTGGGCCCCTTAGATAGAGCTAGTCTCTGTCACTAGTAATGGAAAAAGTCCTGACAATGAATAATTTTAAGTGTAAACTACCGTCGTCAAAACCCTTTAGAATTGAATATTATAAAATTGTCATCTTAAACACTTCTAACATAATTACAAAAGTAGCAAAATCTGCCTGCGTATAATGTGTAAAACAGAGAAGTCGTAGGATCCTCATGAGTTTAAATTGATAACAATAAAGTACTCCTGAGCCACGGTAAATCTCCATTCCTCCGAAATACTTCACTCCCCTGCTTTGGTATGATCTTGTTTTAAAAAAAGTATTTTACAATTCCTTTCGCATACACGCACTGTATTGATAGTTAATTAGCCATTATGCAGCAACTGTGTTCAGACACCCATTCCTTCTACTTTCGGTTTTCCTTTTGTTTAATACAGTTGTATCGACATATCTTTCAATAATTTAAGCACTTTCTTCATATTTAGTTTTCGAAAAAGCACAATGCATTTCACGGAACATCATCTACAGTCTGTCCCGAAAATAAGTACACACACCAGGAACTTTGCTGGCCGCCTGACGATCAGTTGCTCACCACTGTCAAATGTACCACGAAGCTAACGGCGGTCATGTTAAACATGTACACAAGATTCGCTAATTTACTAAGTGCCAATGTAACTTACGTAGTAGTTTAGTTTATTAAAGTGTCTTAATTTCATTCATTGAATGTGTATACACCTTTTTGGGGCGTCCTGTGTATTACCGAACCCACGTTAATATAACAACTTCTAATTCCTCGAAAGCCCTAACAGCTTCCCTAGTTTCTACATCTATGCAGATAAGTCCTTGATAAGCTGATAGTCACGTAGTTAGTAAAGAAATTCCCTACCTTTTAGAAAACCCGAAGGTCATTTACCATGTTCACATGATCTCACCACTAGACCTTATTCCGAGAACAGCGACTCAATCCAAATCCTTAAAGCCCAATTTTAAAGTTATCCCTCCCATCCACGCCTAAGTTTGCCGAGTAGTATTTTTCTTTTCAGGATCTGCGACTACAATTTTTGTCGCAGTTCTCGTCTTTATCCCATTTTCGAAACCAACATTTTGGAAACACACAGTTTAATACGGAAGTACTTGCTTTTACACCCCGCAGACTCGCCCATTTAGATTAATAATCTCGCCAATTTCAACAAAGGCAAGCTTCATCATTAATGAAGAGAATTATACTGGCGGTGTAATCTGGTATATCAATCTCAAGCAGAGATTGACTGGTTCATTGTAATTTAACAACACTGTTTCAATTATGGAAAATCAACGCGTATTCCACTTGTGCTGCAATAATTCTGTTTTGATTTCTTCTTACTCGTGTCCTATTTAAGTCTTATTCTTCTTCCTCCTATTGGATTTCTGTAATTTGTTTCTGACATAGTCTCATCTCATCATTATTTATTCACATAATTCACTTCGTAAAACTGGCACCAGGAAATTGTACAAATTTAAGAGAAAAAGAGCAGTCGATTCAGCCTATACCAACTGCTAACAAGATCTATAGCAGCGTCCACCGATACACTAGTACGTGTTCGAAAATGCGTACTGGAACTGAATCCATAATTCAATTTAACGCTTCCCTTGCCACCTTTAGACTAGCATTAACGCGTCTGAATTATATCCAGCAGAGTACAAAACTCGTGGGATGCGGTATTACACCCTCGCCCACTTCTGTAAATATTTAGAGACATTCGAAAAATAGTGCTATGGAGAGCAATTTCGTTATCATTGGGTCTTCAAATCTACTTTGACTTTGTACAGTGATCTCCATGGTAACAACAATACGACATATAACTCCGTTCTCCAGCAATCAACTCAGATGTTTACGATAAGTTACTGACGTCCGTGATGGTGACAAAGCTTGGCGATATTAGAAGGTTTATACGAATCCTTTAAATGTCTTCGTGCCCAGCTGTCCTTTTCTGAAACATGTTCTTAACGACTTTCCTTAGTCCCTTATTCAAGAGCACTAAGCAAACTGGGTGCCAATAAGTCCATCAACTCATCAAACTGTCTAGTAATTCAAATACGTGCATTGGCATAACGGACACCAACTGACCGATTTTTGTTAAACTTGATATGAAGATTACGTCACCGGACGATATCCCATCTTGATACATTTCGCTAATTCAGATATGTAAATGAGGCGACTGGGGATTATGTTTGCACTGTGATAATTCCTTGTATAATAAACAACTTTTAATGCGACAAAATTTGTAGTAAAATAGATAATAACGACATGGCAATAGCACAGAACGCTTTTCGATGATACATCATCGTTAAGGTCACGAATAAAATATGTATCGCAACATGTTAGAAACGCGTCTTCAGAATTTACGTTTATGTAGTTAATTTAACCACTATGTCACCTCAGTAAATATAGAGTTGAATATTAGGATAAATAATACATTATAAAGCTTATGGAAGGAAGCGGTAATGGACTAATATAAGGCACTACCTTGGCACTTGTCTGGAGGGACTGAAGAAAACAATGAAAAACCTCGTTCAGATTTACCCATAGCCAGTCAATATTTCTTCAAGATTAATACTTCTTGGAATGAGTCCTGGAGGCGCAATCCTCATCGGTACAGAGGAAGAAGAACAAGAAGATTTAATCTTGATCCTCTATCCCTTTCCGGCCACTCAAAACAGCCGCTTCTCTCTCTCTCTCTCTCTCTGATAACCCACACAGGTGTCCTGAAAAAGCTCTTATCCTATTTTCTCGGAAACGGCTTCGTCTCGTTTCGTCTCGTCTCATCTCCTCATCCCACAATCAGCCCGCTTGGCTCGACCCTTCTCCCAGCACTGTATAACCCACCAACTTCGTAACACCCCTCACTAGACCCTGAAGCTGTAGGCCGTATGTTCCTCCGAAACGTTGGCATGCAGCCAAAATAGTACACAGCCCGGCAATCCAGAAGACACTATCCACGTACGCCAAGAAATTCGTTCCCAAACCTGAAGGATCCACTACTATCTACTGTTATTTAAAACGTACAATGAATAAGATTAAGTTTGTTTAACAGCCTATACTTTGCGTTATTTACTTAGAGCAGACTTGACGTAAAATTTTAAATGAAATCAAAATGCAACTTTTTATGGATTCCTTCATCGTTTAAAACTTACCCGAATATCATATCACGACTACAGATAGCTGAAAATGAATTTACACAAAATCTGCTTTTTAAGACATGAAAAACACCGACTTTTATGATTGGACTTCTATCAACTGTGTGTGTGTGTGTGTGTGTCTCATGCCCGGAAAGTTTATGATGTCCTCAGTGCAGGTACGACATAAGAATTACAGTTTGAATATCGCCCAAACCTTCTCTCTCGAAAAATGTGAGGGAATAACCTGGGACGGCACGTGAAAAGCGCTCAGAGCTTACATTTTTATTGAAAATTTAAAGCCGCTAATCACGTTGTTAGCAGAACTGCTACAACTATATACCTGAAAAAAATTTCTAAACAAATTTTGTATAGGATAGCTGTACAGAACGCCACTGAATTCAAATAGGTGGCAGACGGACTAAAAACGAAGCAATTTCTAACTTTGTTGTCAACATTTATAGACCAGTATGATTTACAATGAAAAACGTGGCTTCAAATTATGAAGCAAACATCCTGTAAAAATTGCTAAAATCCGTTCACGTCTCCTTCAATCAGAAAAAAGAGAGGAAAATAAAGAAGTAGGCGCCACAGAGTTTTTTATTTTTCCGAAAGCACCTAAAGTTTCACCTCTCCTCTCATTAGCCGCCACTGAATTCCACATGTTTCAATATCTCGGTGAATGAGAATCTGTCGAAAGCTTTCGCAAATACCTGCCAGAAAATGTTTTCTTCCCAGAGCCGAGACGTCAGCAAACCCCGCCAAAAATCGATCGAATGAACACGGATCGGCATTAAACTCTTCCCCAGGAGTTGAGATAATGTTCCACACCTCTGCTGTGAATCTAATGGAAAAATAATGGACGTTAGGATGATTATGAATACAGCTAGGCGCGGAAAGAATTCTATTTTAACACACTACTCAGGCATTCGCTTCGGGTGTTTATCGGATTTTTAACGGTGTTTAATGTACAAACAGCAACTTCATTAATCCAAGTGTAGGGAGCTTAATCAGAGGTGGGAACAGAACATGGCAGAGAAAATCGTGTGCTATCTAATATATTAACATTATTAACTAACTTCATAGCAGCAGAGACCCTTATTAGGAAGCTAATAGTGGCTCAGCTAGGGAAGAAATTCTTCGTGTTTCGTGAAACCATAAGATCCTGCAGGTGGCAGTTTCCCTTCACCCTTCCAACTAGAAGTTCCACACATTTCTCATTCAAAACGAGCGCTACATGCCTGTCCGTCCTAATAATATATGGTGAAATGCATGAGTTACTGAGATCTGCAATTTTTTTCATACTTTTTACGACTAAAGTTCTCCTGAGTACCCTGTTCTCAAACGATCTCAATTTGTACCTCTTTTTGTGTGAGGAACCACGTTTCACAGCCATACAAAATAACAAATAAAATTATAATTTTGTATATTTTAACCTTCATGTTACAGACATTAAGAAATATACAGTACACGGCATTGCCCCGAAAAACATTCACAAAGCTGGAGACAGCATGTTCCTCTAAACCTTTGCCACATGACGATTTGGCTATACGACGCAACAACCTAGAAGACTACCATCTAAATTGTGACAAACATTAATATATTTTCTAATTAATGTGTTAAAACTGAAGATCTATAACAGTTAAAACACTTAAATTAAGGCGAGAGATTACATACTCGTGTTTTATTCTTGTAATAACCTCTTTTGTGTGATAAAAAGAGGTATGATGGTGAAAATTCGAAGGTGTGTTTGCGAAAGAACGGATGCATCTTTTATACTCTTTATTAATCGTTTGCAGAATTCTCTATGGGTTTTGCGACCCACGTATTGGGTAACACAGACACAAGTTTGTCAAAACACGCCACAAAAGTTTCTATCTGTACGTAAGGAGCTGCCACGAGACGTCACACATTGTTGTGGTGGGAAGAGGGTCACACAACAAGGCATCACCAGGAAGTGAGATACGGGGTCAGATCTCACGAACAGGAAGTTTCAAGGCACGGGGACTAGCAATGGGTTGAATCGGTGTGCGCTGATTCAGCTCCTACAGACCTATTGCCTTACGTGCTCATCTTTGGCTTTTTCTCATCAGTTATCATGAATTTGTCAAACACTGGGGGGGGGGGTTATCACCTACTATTTCCTGAATTAAATCAGGAGAGAAGCATTGTACAACAGTATATAACATTTCACTCAGTTCGACATACTGACACCTGCAAATAAAGTTGGGCTAACTGGAATGCCTTTAAACAAAATCTAAAATAAAATCCGTACAGGTAATTATTCGTCCGATGCATTTCCCAATCATAATTGTCTGAAACCAGGAGATACTTTATCACCATTCCTTTCCAATTTTTCTTTAGAGTACCCCATTAAGACAGGCCAACGAAAACAGAAGAGGCATCCAGCTTCTGGTCTATGGCTGTGTTTTGGTGTCGTGTAGACTCGTCGATAGATATCAACGTTTCGGAGGTACATACTATCTCTATCTTCAGGACTGAACCAAGGCTTAGCTATTAACAACTAGGTTACATTCGTATGGTAAAATAAGAGACGGTACTATTCTCCAGAAAAAAAACTGTTGTTTGATAAGCGTCAGGTTAAGCTCATATTTCTGGTGCAATAAGTGTCAAGAGACATTGTTTTGATACAGAGCGAGGTTAATGACAGGCAAAGTCGTGGCGCAATTGTGTGTATCTGAGCAAATATAAGCCGGTGTATGAGTGTATAAATTAATGAAGCCACATTGATCACTGCCATGGGTAAATCAATAATGATATCACCCATGTATTAAAAAACATGACCTTATGAAATTGCACGTTTTAAATGAACCAAAATGTCGATGTTGAGCCGACTACTGATAGTAGCAAAATTAATATTAACTCATTTCAAAACAAACGTCAGACAAGACTATATAAGTAATATTACGTTGTATTAAACCCTATAAATGTGTGTGGTTCTATCTCCACAAGTTTCGGAAACCGGAGAGGCCACACATGTAGAAATGCAGTACAAATTTTTACGAATGTCAGCCAGTTTGTTCATAAATCATTCATTATAAATGAAAAAAGAAATCTTCAAAAGTCATTGGGGGAGATAAACAGCGAACGAGTGTCAGGAACATTAATAATGAACTCTATTTCACGTGGTGCCCAACCCCGCCCCTTCCGTCACAAAAATGTGCCCGCTGACCGAAACATCATTATGTAAGCATTATGCCTGATGAGGATGAAAGACCACAACTTTATATTGAAATTATGTTAAGAATTTGATTTTTGAGGACGAGACATGAAGGATACAAGGGAAAATATGGCGTCACATGTTAAAATGGTGAATAATATCAGATGAGATTCGAGATTCTCAGCGCACTGAAATTGGTGATACTAGTCTGCTAGATAGTAATGCCAAGTGAATTTGCAGTTAGACGTAAACTTTTAGGAGGGACCTTCATATTCAGGGACAAATTTCAGTAACTAGAAGATCTGCATCGGCAATATCATATGGTGACTAGGAAGCAAGCATTTCCACAGCTTGTCATTCTGGTTTTGTACGGTATTTGTAAATTCGCTTAACAGCTTCAAACGGAAAGTGTCGGTTACTAGTTTATATAAGAAGAATACTCAACCATGACTGAGACTCCTATAAGCGTAAGTTCTCTACTTACTCCGGATACATAAGAAACCAACAAAAAAGTTTCTTTTACTAGAAGATTCAAAAGAAATGGACACAAAAAGACTTCTTTGTTCTACACACTAACTGGAAAGGAACGTTCAGAGTTGAACATCAAAGTCTGAAATCTGAAGATTCAGAGAGCGGTCCTATTCTCTGAATACCACTCAGATGGAAACAATGCAGTTGTACCAAAGATAAGTCTTCTGAGATAACAACGATTCACTAGCAACTTTCGAAACTCGGTCTCAAGTTGCAACTAGCGAACGTAACAATATACAGCATAAGGCCTAGATATTTTTCATTGACAAATTTTAAAAGAAATTTAGCCCAGCCTTGTACTAATGTTTCTGCGGTTGGAGTTTGACGTGAAACTTCGGCTTTTGGAAAGTATCCGCGTCAAATGTTAAAAATTAACCAACGTTTCGACAAGCACTGTAGCTGCAATCTTCAGGGAGCCCTATATGAGACTTCAAAATACACTTTATCATTATATGTTAACCTGATGATGATAACTTCAATGTTTGCCGAAACTGATGATTTTCAACATTCGATGCGGTTCACCTCTGAAAGCTGAAGCTGTTCATTACAATGTAGCATACTTTTTTCTCAAAACCTTAACACTGTTCACTCGATAAGATTTTACATAAAACACTAAAACATGTTTCGGCTACCATCTAACCTTCTTCATAACTAATTACTCGTCTAGAAAAAAAGATTATTCCGTCTGCAAACATATTTGAACACGCTGCCTCCGTCAAGGAACGTCGTGATGGATATGCACTGTTAGTCGTGTGCATAAATCATCAGCCCTCCCACCTTCAAGGACAATCAGTGACCTGCGAAGGACACTGGGCGGAGAAAATGCAACTCACCTCAGTACAATTCTGGTCATGGTCGCCACAGTTCCTAGAAAGTCGAGCCACAGTGACCCATCTGATGCTGTCGTGTTGCTTCACATCTGTCACAGACGTGCCGTTATCTGAAGCAAGACAGCACCCCCCACCCCAGGCATCCAATTTGCCCTTCAGTAGCATAACTCATCTGCTGTGCCATCAAACCATGCCCCGTCTGAATTTTATTTATTAACTTTCCTATGGACCTGACACAACTTTCTGAAGCACACAGTACAGAGAATCACGCCAGACTTTGCATACAGTGTTTACCAATAATGTCATTACCTAAAGATGAATTCAGATGCCTCCGAAACGTCGGATATCTATTCTGAATTTACACAATTTGTAGCCTTAAAATAAAGGTGCCCTAAAAGATGTATAAATACTTCCAATGATTGAAATAAAGATATTTTAATAAACTAAACCATTACATACGTCAGCAGTGGCACTTGGTACATTATCGAATCGAGTTAAGTATTCAAAATGACCGAAATTAGCTTCGTGGCACAGTTGACAGCGGTGAACAACTGACTGACAAGCGGCTACGAAAGCTGCTGTTGTGTAGATTTATTTTGGGGCACACTGTACTTTATCAACTCTATAACATGTTAAATTTCTAAATGGGTTTCCTTCAAATTTAAGTTTACTCTGCGTACGTGACATCTGGCAGTTGTCATGCGACCAACCTATGGATTTGTTACGTATGAGAATATTCAACTGTATACACACCATACATTTAAGGCTATTTTATTTAATTTCGTATTAAATTTCGTTCCCATAACCATTATAAAGATAGCTAAATTAGTAGATCTATCAAGATAAATTCTAAACACTGTTGTAACAAAGAGAATGCAAGCGAAAAACACAGATCCACACCGGCCACACACGCCAGTCACGTGTGTGTGTGTGTGTGTGTGATCACCCCACCAGAAACGAGGAAACGAGGAAAATTACACCCCCTAATAACATGTATCCTTTAAACGACGTAACCGATACCACAAATGCTTACTAATTAGAATTCTGTGTTTGAAATAGTTCAGTTGTGCGAACAGTTACAACGTTAAAACATATTACAAAACTCTTTCTTCTGGAGGGCATATTAATATACTCTCCTGCCGATTGAAACGTTTGCCACAGTCTCTTCAAAGGGATTTCTTCTGGCGCAATTAATCGATATTCCCTAACACAGAGGCTTTCCCCCAGCAGTCGACAGTTACGTCCCAGTTCAAAAATTTTCCATTGTCATGAATCCCGGAACATCGTCGATGTCATCTCAGA